AATATTTAGACAAGTGGAGTGATGCTATTTCTATTAAGATAGATTCTTCTTGAAAAGGAAAATAATTTCTCCTTGATGTACATAATTTCTAGCAAATGTCTCTGAGTATCCGAGAAGTCACACGCTGCCCTTGTAGGGCCCACTGGGACAATTTGCTGTTTATTTCGGGACACAAATTCTACATCTAAAATTCTACACTATGGTCAGTTTTAAAGAAAGAAGAGAACCCTTAAATATCTTAATGGAAATGGGAATCTTTATCTTAGACATGGTCATTGTAAGTACTTTTTGGCAAATAACTTATGTGCCAACTATATACTATTCCTAGCTAATGTATTTCTACTATAGCAGAAAATAATAACCAAAGATGTTTGGGTATGTGCATCATGGGGTATTAAGAGAAATTTCCCAATTATGCCTTTCTGGTCCCTGGACAAGGGCACCTGAGGTTGATCAAGTGGCCTGGAAATCACAGATGCAGCGCTGTGGTGATACAAATCAGGCCTCTTTTCTTTGTCGTCAAACACCTTAAGCCCCCTTATTCCAACAGGAATTGTACTTGAAGTTGGCAGTTTGTTTCATCTGTATAAAAATAAGAATATTTTCATTATTCTTGGTGTATCCATCTCTTCTTTTCCTTGCTCCCATTAACAATAAAAATCCATGCGGTTTTCAGCCATTCTCATTTTTCTTGCGATAAACCATGTGTGACATGGAGACCTTGAAGCTGGGCATTCTGGCCACGATGCTCAATAGACTGTGCAGAGAGCTTTCTCAGAGGTAACCACTGTAAAAAATCAGCTCCACTGTTGTTCCTCTCTCTTATGTTTTTCTCATGCTCCTTTTTATACATCTAGTGTAATGTGAGTTCACATGAATTCAGCCAAAGGCCTTTTGCCTGACAACAGAAAAAATGTCTATGGCTCTCACGGGTGCTGGAGTTGTCCTTTCTCTTAATTCCAGCTGCTTCTTTTGCAATAACAAATTGGGGTACTTGCTAGAAGGAAAACGTTCTCACTGCAGAACTACTTTGTTCCTCTTTCATGGAGTCTTTTCTTACAGGCTTCTGGAGCCGTTTGGAGGCCCTCGTCCCTATGAGTTATAATTGATGTAGTAAAATGAAAAAAGAATCAGATGAAAAAGACTTGTTTCCACCAATTGGTTTCATAAATAAATAAGAACACATGGTTTTAGTCTTTGCAACATTGAATAACACTATCTGATTAGTAATATGAAGATAATGCCTAAAAATCAGCTATGGAAGTAAATCTAACACAGATGTTCATAGGTCAGTTCATATGTGTGCATGCATATATTAGTTGGGGTTCTCCAAAAGATGTGCATGTATATACAGAAAGAACCAACCCATGCAGTTGTGGAAGCGTGGTTAGTCCAAAATCTGATGGGAGGGGCCAGGAAACTGGAGACACGAAGGACAGAGTTGCTGCTTGAGTCTGCCTGCAGGTAGGATCTCTTCTTTCTACTGGAAGATCAGTCTTTGTCCTATTCATGCTCTCACTTGATGGGATGAGGCCCGCCCGCATTGTGGAGGGGAAACTGCTTTACTCAAAAGCCACCTATTTAGAAGAAAAGGTCTAAAGGAGTAGGGGAAGTGGGAAGGGTAAGGGAAAGGAAAGAAGGTAAAAGAAAAAATATGAGAAAAGGAAAAAATGGAAACAAAGTCTTTGTAAATAGGGAAGGGTGGAGGGGGTGAAGGGAGGGCAGGGGAATGGGGAAAAAATAAGAACCAAGATACATCATGTAAAGGTACAAGATCCCAATGATGAATGTAATTGTATTGTATACCTAAAATGTACCAATAAACTTAATGGGAAAAAATCCACCTATTTAAATGGTAATCTTTAAAAAAAAAAACCTTCACAGAAACATTGAGCATTGAGCATAATGTTTGACCAAATAGTTGGGTACTATGGCTCAGCCAAGTAGATAAACAAAATTAACTATCACATGCACATATGACCTGTAATGTTATATCAGCAACACCCAAAATTAAGTATCATTCAGGAAATTTAGAAAAGTTCAGGAAGTCACTAGGACAAGAAATGGTTTTATTTTCCATAAATGTCCCAAGGACAAGAGATTACAGTTTTATTTTTGATAAAACTTATTACACATGTAATCAGGAAGTCTTCCACTAAGTCTTTTTGGTATTCTGATATTTTGCTACTTAATAGCAAAAAAAGTTGCTTAAATAGTTATTTAAATTTCTATTTTCAAGTAAAAATTAGGTTGTTACCATAAAGGTACAACTTTAAAAAATCTTGTTTGTAATCATAAAATATGAACCCTGTTATGTACATATGTGTGTATTTGTGTATGTGTATGTTTTAAATTTTTACCAAGTCAATTGAAGTCTATAAAAGAAAGTTTGAGGCATGACTCATGGTGCTCACCTGAAATCCCAACTACCTGGGAAGGCTTAGGCAGGAGGATTGCAAGTTCAAAGCCTGTCTGGGTAACTTAAGGAAACACTGTCTCAAAATAAAAAAGATTGGAGGGTATAGCTCAGTGGTAAAGTGCCCTGGGTTCAGTCTTCAGTTCCAAAAGGAAGAAAGGAAGGCAAGGCAAGGCAAAAAGAAACTTTTTGATCAGCTCATATTGCTTTAAGGGTGAGGCATGTTTTATCTTTTGATTGAATTTTTTCTTTCTTTTGGGAGTATCTGAACGAGTGATGGAACTGGATCTGAATGGGAGATATCTCACCTGCTACTTCCTGAGTTTCTCCCCCCCGCCTCTGTCCCCCCCCCCAACCTTCCCTCTCCTTTGTTTTTGCAGTGTTGAGGACATAGCCCTGCATGCTAGGCAAGCACTCTGTCACTGAGTTGAAGACCTCCTCTTTTTTCTGACTTTCCCCCTCAAAATAATAACACAAACGTGGAAGGAAAGACCAAGCTGAAGAAGGAAATGTATATTTTGGAGAAAGAAAATGTATTTTTGTCCATATATTGACAGAGGAAGTTCAGTGCCCTGTTCTTTGAGAACAGGTAGTCATCCGCTCATTGGAGGAGTACCATTAACATTCATGGTAGGAATATGAAGAGCGTATAAATGGCTTTGCAGCAAACCTAATTCTGTTTTGTATCCCATGAGAGTTTAATATTTTTCAGTAATAAGAACAGGTCAGATTATGCTGTAGAAAGCTGAGAGTTTAGGACGTATCTTCTTGATAGTAAATTGTTCCTTAGAAGTAAATTATCTACTACAGGCAGCTTGGCTTCCTGGGGAAGATAATGTCCCTCAAATGAGATAAGAATAAAAGTTTATTACTTGTTTTACTGTACTTGGGACAAGATTTCATAACAACTGTGCTAATCACCAGATTAAAACATTACAGGGAAGTCAACATTAATATGATGCATGTAGGGGGAATTATAGCTTTTGGAGCTATTTTCCATCTACTCTGATCTGATTGTTCTTATGCTTGGAAGAGGCTATCAGAATCTGAGTTGAATATGAAAAGTAAAGTTGAGAAAGAGACAAATGAAACTATATATCTTTGGTCAATAACATTTTGTCATATCTTCACCTAATATTCATAACAAATTTTAAAACTTCTTTGCTATCATGGCCCTGAAACTGAACTATAATCAAAGACTATATTTTTCTTAATTGTGTTCCTCTTTAATGGTAAGGATTGTCTTTGAATCACCCCAGATATGTTACTTGCAAAGTAAGTGGTATAAATCTGAAATGTGAATTAAGGAACTGGTAAATAGTATTCATTAGTTGTGTGATTTGTGAAACATATCGTGATGCAGATGTTAAATTTAATTTCTTCAGAGATCTGAGTGTTACTAATTTAGTTAGTAGATATTTTCAAATGTTCCTTTTGATAATTTGATACTAGAGCTAGAGAATAATTCAAATGATGGTCAGCCTCAAACTTTCTGGAGAGATGTATCAGGAAGGACACTCATAGGTCATGGAGAGCTTCTGCTCATCCCATAAACATTTATTGACTGCTTACTGGGTGCTGTGTGTGCAGTGCTGGGCATGAGGCACATCACTCTATGCCACCGAAACTTGATCACTGTAAGGTTATATCACCCACAGCCAAAATTAAGTATCTTTACAATTAAATGGGGAAGAAACTTCAAACACACACACACACACACACACCACACACACACACTTTGTCATGAGTGTTATAAAATAAGTTTGATGTTATGAGAGAATAACTTTGTGGTTGTGAGGATGGGTATCTACTCCAGATAGGAAGCCTGGAAAGCCCTCTTTGACTTGACATTTATGCTAGCCTGTGAAGGATAATGACACTGCCATGCAGAGTATTCCAGGAAGAGGAGAAATCATATGTGAAGGCCTGAAGGTAGGGAATACCTTGGCGTATTCCTAGAATGAAAACTGGCAGCGGGACTGGAATCTGAAGAGCAACAGAAATAGTGGGGGGGGGGGGAGGTTGACGAGGAGGAGGGGTTTGGTCTTGTGGTGTCCTGATCATATGGAAATACAGGCATCAGGGTCTTCCTCTAATGCAACTGGAAGCCATTGAAAGGATTTCCACAAATATGTATGATGTAATCATTCAAAGTTGAAAGCTCATATACAAATATCATGGTTTTAAGAGTATAGGATTTGGGCATTGTCACACTCTGGAGAATCATTTTTGGTAGAGAAGCAGCAGTTGTCTATAATACATACATAGGAGAGGGGAGAGTTCTGCAGTTTGACATTGGGAAAGGCACTCAGCCACTCTTTTCCATGCCTGAACTATGAATTTTAAAAATAAGATATAGTAGGACAATTTTAAATGCAGTGACCCAAGAGTATATACTTAGAAGTATGTGTACAGTTTGTTGTTGTATTACTTACTAACTACATTTTTTCTAAAACTCTAGTCAGGGTTATTGTTCAAAGATAGTACAGATATACACACAGTGGTTTTTTTTCAAGATGTCACTACAGAAGCATTTTATTATTTACTTATTTATTGCTCTTCTTTGTTTGGCTGCACAATGATCTGGGATGTCAGAGCCTTTTGGATGAAGCAGGAGAATACAGGTGAATTCTGATGACGCTGTGATAAAATGCTCCTTCATAAGGAAAGGTGAGAAAAAGCTGCTTTATCTGTTTGGGTTCTGTATCAAGCAGGAACTGAATGCAAAAGAAACATCAAGAGCAGATTATTTACCCATAAAAGTTAACGAGTATTTCATGGTAGTTTTGAGTTTGTGCATGTTCTTTTTGGCTAAATTTTTGTGAATGAAAGAATGGAGTTTGTGGCTGTAAGGGAAGAAATAAAAAATTTACATTTTCCCTTTTTAAAAATGAAATGTGTCATACTAATAAAAGGAACTAAAAATATCACAGGGAAATATATACAGAGCACATGTATTTTATCTGAAAGTGAAAAATATTTTATGACTTTACAGCTTCGTAGTTCAAGTAAACTTCATAGTTAAACTAACTTCATAGTTCAAGTATCCTTCTGTGTGAGCCCACACTCCTTCAACTCCTGTGGTCTTGTGTCCTAAGTTTTCACACCCAGACATGTGAAGATGAAGTTTCCAGAGAGCTGTCACATTCTACCTGCATCTCCACTTTCCCTACCTGTGCCCTGAGTCTAAGCCAGGCACCACCAGGCAATTGCAAGGGGACCTGCCACTCTTGTCCCTGGGGTTTGGAACAGAAAGTTAAAAGCAAATTCTGAGAGATTTTCATTCCTGAGGACGTTCAAGGAAGAAATTACACACACACACACACACACACACACACACACACACACACACACACAGTGGTCATGATTGACTGCAGTGAACAGGAAGGAGACCAGGAGACCATAAGGTGGTTTCCATTAAGGGGTAATTTTACTCCAGGGGCACATTATGGTTAAGTTTCTTGTTTCAGTCTCCTAGTTTATTAATCTCTGACCTTGTGCTGCTGATTTGCAGCTGTGTAACCTGCTGCCACTCCTGTGTCCTCCTATTTTGCCTGCTTTTGAAAGAAGAGGTAGGAGAAACTTATAATACATATGTTATACTAACATGAGGGCTTCCAGTTAGGATGTAAGCCTTTTCCCCACTTCAATCTGTGGCCAGTACAAGATTCATTTTTGAAAATATATTTGTTAAGACTCATCTGCTGAGGGCCAGGGATTTAGCTCGGTGGTTCTGCTGCCTGCCTTATAAGCGCAGGGACCCGAGTTCGATCCCAGGTACCAAAAAAAAAAAGACTCATCTGCTGATATGCTCGTAATTTTACCACATATTCCACAGAAAGCATCTGAATGGAAATATTGAGACATATCTTCAGTGATGTCATTTTATGTTTTCTGAATTAATCCTTAAAGAAATTCTAAGCTAGATATTTCCCACTTTTAGGGACAAAACCAAGGGCCGGAGAAATTAAATGGCTTACCTAGAATTATAACTGATAATCGCTGGGGGAAGAGATTGTCCTTTGGGTAAAGATTAGCAGCCACAGACCTATTGGTTTTTCCTTCACTTCCTCAGTATGCTAAACTTGTCATTTCTACAGTATTAAATACAGGGATAACGAGGGCACAGAGCAATCAGAAGAGTAGCATAAATGTTTATTTTTAAAGTATTAAAACATCTCCATTGTGTATTCATAGTGCAATTAAACTCCTGGTCAGGCCAAAGGGTGAGAATGTTTAAATGAGTCTTTTTCTACCACCCCTTATCAACTTGACTAATAGGCAAAGCCCAGAGCAGTGAGTAAGTTCATTACATGTGATCAGAGGAGGAAGGAATCACGTTCACCATGTTAATGTAGCTTTCAATTTATGGTGGCATTTACTGAAACATCCTGCAATATTTGGCAAAGTTAAAAGAGAGATTGTTCCCCAATTAAATAGAAGATCAAAGAGTGAAGATGAGGGAGGAAAGTGTCGTCATTTTTTTTGTTTAGAAGCAAAATGTTTGGAAAGGTCAGGCTTTGAGTGAGCTAACCTCCACCACTTTTAGTATTCAGGTTGACTAATGAGCGCTTCCTTCATCCTTCTAATGGGTGCATTTACATGTGGGGGAGAATAATAAAATGCTTCTCAATAACTGCAGCCAATAGCAGCTCTTTGTAGACAGAAGCTAAATAATTTGTTACCCACTTTACCTTAAAAAAATCTGAGTCAGTAAGTTATGATTGTTCATACTTATATTTTTTACTTTTATTTCTTGGCAGTACTGGGTTTTGATCCCAGGGCCTTTGCACTAGCCCTTTTTATTTATTGTTATAATTAATTTTTTAATTTGGGACAAAGTCTTGATAAGTTGTCCAGGCTGGACTCAAACTTGCAATCCTCTTGTCTCAACCTTCCAGAATGCTGAGATTATAGGTGTGCACCTCCATATCTGGCTTAAACTATGTTTCTTACCATAATAATATACAGTATTTTGGATTTATCCACCTGATTAAGGATTCAATAAATATTTATTGAGCTTCTACTATGCCTTGTTCTCAATTGAGAAAACAGTGGTATATCTTTATTCTAGGATGTCTTGACTGGAATTATTTAGACACAATTTTTAAAAACGAATTTTTCTGGCATCTAAATCTTGCTCTGTGGCTTGTAGTATTTGTCCCTCTGAACATAGAATTTAGAACTTATGACAGCAACTGTAAAGATCCTAGCAACATCTTAAGCAACGTGCAAGTGCTCTCTATGTGGAGAAAATTACTAGCTATAAAATGTTACCTCTCAAGATGGTTGTTAGGGGGGCATAATATAACTTCGACTCTCTCTCTAACTTTCTCTGTATATATAATGTCACCCTGGAAAAAAGGTATGTACCAGATTAGGCATTGCATACGATTTTAGGGACCTAAAGTGAAAGAACCAAATTCTTTGAGAATTAAACTATCTACAGCATCTAAGTTTTTAAGTGCTTGATATTCAGGGGGCAAATAGAGTGTAGTTAGAAATACTAAGGTCTAAAAAGTTAAAGTTATAATAATTGCCATTTTTCTGTGACTTCTGTGGAACCCTAAGGTCTCACTCCTTGTTAAGAAGGGTTTCATGGTTGAATATGTGTGAGAACTCAAAATTGAAGCCTCCTACTGGGAGATTTATCTTTGTGCATTAATATATTAATGCTTTAATGAGTCCCAAAACTCAGAAACCTCTTCAACCCAATATTTCTCAAATGCAAATGACCAGAGCAATATTTCTCCCCATCATGTATCAACAATTAACATCTTGGAAGAAACTCTTCGCTATAAAAGATAAACTCTAGACCATTCCAGAAAAAGGAAATTTTGCTAACATGCTATCTTATTATACATTCTGATATCCTGAGGAATTGCCCACCTCCATTGTTTATAATGGGCTTTTATTCCATTGTGGCTGCCTCCTTTTCTGCCCTTGCAAGTCAAATCTGTTCAGCCTTCTCTTGGTACTGAGCAGTTCATTTTCTTCCTAAATAAAAGCCAATCCACTGTATTGGCCCGGCCCACGGGTAAGTCAACGGAGACCCTAGAGGGGGAGCGAGGATGAGAGGGGACAGGGGACACGAGAGATGGAGACAAGACAGGTTTCTGATCAAGTCTCGTTTATTTTGGAAGCTGCTACAACATATATACCGTAGGGCGAGAGGGGAGGAGCAAGAGGAGTGTACTGGGGCTACTTCCTTGTTGCCGGGTAGATCTGCAACAAGCCCGAGCATGTCCATAATAGGCACTCAAGAATTCCAGCGGGGGGGGGGCAAGGCCCCCCACACTGTATCCTACCAAATTCCATTCTTCCAGCATTCCAGGGTTGTTTTAAAGCTCTATTGTGGTAATTTAGTATTTGTGGTTTTAGGTTTAAAGTTTAAACGATGATTAAGGTGTGTCACATGCTGAATTTTGTCTTTCACATTTTAAAGTTTGCCCTACCTTGACAAAAACATTTACTTATGAAGATTTAAAATATCATCCAAGTTTTCAATGTCATTTGTATTTCTGTTAAGAGCTGTAATACGGAGATGGCTTGTGCTTCTTATTTAAAGCCCTGATCATTCTGTGACTGTGCAAACACGTCTGAAACCTCTCCTGGCACACCAGGCTGCAGAGTACTTTTCAAATAGGAAACTATTTGAACTATTGCAACGTATTTTGATACAGTCCATGTTGCATTAAGATAAATGCTAATGTTAAGTTAATGTTGTAGTGATTTCTTCAAATATAAGTAGAGATCAGAGAAACAACTTTTTCCTAATGTAAGAGATTTTTAAAACAGGCCGAGTAAACAGCTACAGTGATGATGCGTGGGATTATAAGGTAAGTAGCATAGAGAAAACAACTGAAGTCGCTGAAAAGAATGCCTCAAGTAAAAGATAACCACACATATCATGGGAAATAGAGGATAGGGCAGTTTCCTCCTCAAAAAAACTGAACTTACAAGTGAAGCATTCAGTGAGAGATGCAGAACTTCTGATCCGTCTTCTTACTCCGATCTGTGTAGGTATGGAACAGTTTAGAACCACTGGCTTTAACTGCTGGGTGCTGAATAGAGGAGAGGAGCAGTCTATCAATTTCTTTAGGATCTTAATTTATGTGGAGCTTGGCCTGTACTCAGGCTCACTGAGTCTAGTGGAGTGAGTGAAATTCTGCAAGACCAACATGTACGTAGTTTTATGCTAAGAACACCTTACCCCCAACTTTGGAAGCAAAAAATTTCTTTTGTGAAAATAAGTAAGTATATTTCCAGAAGAGAAATAGATGCTGTATATAAATTTATTTTCAATATATAACACAGAAACTTAGATTTACCTAAAACCAGCTAGTTCATTATGCCAACTCAGCTAATTGTAAAAAGAAAAATATTTGCTTTAATATTTTATAATATTAGCTATGTCTCTAAGAGAACGATACAAAATATCAATGAAGCCAAGAGTTGGTTCTTCGAAAGAATCAACAAAATTGACAAACTCTTAGTGAACCTTATCAGAAAAAGGAAAGAAAAGGCCCAAATCCATGCAATTAGGAATGAAAAGGGTGAAATTACAAC